CATCTCTCACCGTACCCTCCTCCTCCCTCAGGGACGGTTTGGCTTCCTTCTCGCTGACCTTCCTTCTATAGCTTCCTTCTCGCTAACTTCCTTATCGCTTCCTTCTGTGCAGAAGTGTGCGGTGGAGGAGAAGGGCGCGGCATGCAGGGAGGCTGAGGACGCCAGGACGAGGGTGGAGCTGGAGATGAGCACGCTCGCGGAGAACGAAGCTACCCTGAGGGCGGATTTCCTCTCTGCGCGCCGACACCAGCAGGAACTGGAGAAGAGCGGCGATGAACTGAAGACGGCAAAGCTAGGTACGTGTGCGGGCTCGTACGACGCTGGGTTTCTCCTGCGTCTGTTATTGCTGCCTTCTTTCTTTCTCCATCTCTCAGTCTCTCTCTCTCTCTCTCTCTGNACTCTCTCTCGCTCTCTTTTGCTCTCACTTTCTTGTTCTGGTCCTACTCTCCCTCTCTACTTCCCTCACCTCTGTCTCCCTTGCTCCTTCTGTCATTTCCCCACTCTCTATCTCTCTACTTTTTCGCCCTATTTCGTTTCCCCTGTATCTCTCCTGCTATGGTACAAATAAAAACAATGCCATTACATAATATGTGAAATGTTTTAATTTCATGAAAAACAGAAATGGAAGCGAAGATGGAGAACACACAGGATGAGAGGCGAGCGTTGCTGGAGCGGTGAGTGCTCTCATCTCGGTGCTTAGAGATACCAATCATTGTTAATTAAGAATTAAATTTATAACCAATATATATCAGCTAATATCTTTATATATATATATATATATATATATCCATTTGTAATAAATTACATTTTACTATAAACCAATGTTTATTCATTGGCATGCGCGGTAGAGGGAAGGTGTGTGAAAAGGTGGAAGGAAGGTGTGTGAAAAGTGGAGGGAAGGTGTGTGAAAAGTGGAGGGAGGGTGTGTGAAATGGTGGAGGGAAGGTGTGTGAAAAGGTGAAGGGAGGGTGTGTGAAAAGTGGAGGGAAGGAGTAAAAGAAGTGTGAGGAAGGGATGATAGAGATGGAAGGAGAGGATGTAAGCGGTGAAAAAGCAGGATATCACAGTTTCTTTAGTAACATCCAGACTTTCATGGACGGCTATAGTTGGCTTATCACAGATACCTGTAGAGTTAGGTTTTCCCTTCCTAGTTCATGTTTACCTGTAGAGTTAGGTTTTCTCTTCCTAGTTCATGTTTACATGTAGAGTTTGGTTTTCTCTTCCTAGTTCATGTTTACATGTAGGGTTAGGTTTTCCCTTCCTAGTTCATGTTTACCTGTAGAGTTTGGTTTTCCCTTCCTAGTTCATGTTTACCTGTAGGGTTAGGTTTTCCCTTCCTAGTTCATGTTTACATGTAGGGTTAGGTTTTCTCTTCCTAGTTCATGTTTACATGTAGGGTTAGGTTTTCTCTTCCTAGTTCATGTTTACATGTAGAGTTTGGTTTTCTCTTCCTAGTTCATGTTTACATGTAGGGTTAGGTTTTCCCTTCCTAGTTCATGTTTACCTGTAGAGTTTGGTTTTCCCTTCCTAGTTCATGCATCGCTGCCTGTGCCTCTTCCACCTGTCGTCGCATTTTCGTCGATGATTCGCGCAGCTTTTCGCACTCCGACTCGCTGGCCAGACACCTGGTGGTAGAAAACGGAAGCGTAAGAAATGCAGCGTGCACACACACACGGCGTCCAAGCCTCGCCCAGTGCAACGTTGTTATAAAACGAATGTCACGCACAACTAAACATTGATAAATTCACAACTTGTCATCACAAGGTCATGTTTCGTTAGTGTAGGTGACTTTTACACACCCTCCCTCCACTTTTCACACACCCTCCCTCCACCTTTCACACACCCTCTCTGCACCTTTTTACACACCCTCCCTCCACTTTTCACACACCCTCCCTCCACCTTTTCACACACCCTCCCTCCACCTTTTACCCACCTCCCTTCACCTTGTATACACCCTCCCTTCACATTTTATACACCCTCACAACAACTAATATTTAATGACTACTAAGTCTGTCATAACTAATACGTTTGATTGAGTAGAGCTTTCATTTCATCGTGTTTGTTCTCTCTGTCTGTTTGTCACAGATTGAGAATAATCGCGTGCAGAACAGGAAGTGGGCAGACGACAGTGAGGTGCATAACTGCATGGGCTGCACAAAACCATTCTCTGTCACCAACCGTAAGGTAAAGTTGTATTACTTACATAACAGTTGTTCGATATTATACCTACGGGCTGATCTTAATCGCAAGCAGAGAGGTTTGTAATAGTAGGAATGCAGTCATTTTAATCGCACACTTGTTGTTGTGCATTTTCTCTTTCTTTCTTCCTTACTTTTTTGCAACTTTAGTACTTTCTTCCACATTTTTATCAATTCTCACCATATTAGAACTATATATATAAATAAATAAATATATTTATATCAGAAGTAGATAATAGAGAACCCTATTATTTTGATATTCCTATTTTTGATAACCCTATTTTGATAACCCTATTTTGATAACCCTATTATGATTCCCTATTATCTATTTCTGATATATATACATATTTATTTATTTATATATATAGTTCTAATATGGTGAGAATTGACAAAAATATGGAAGAAAGTACAGAAATTGAACATGTATATATATATAAATAAAATATACATGCACATGTGGCTTTGTTAGTGGTAATGAAGCATGTCTCTCTGCGTATTTTCAGCACCACTGCAGGAACTGCGGCAACATTTACTGCAACGAATGCTCGGCTAAGTCCGCGACAACCGTCTCTTCCAAGAAGCCGGTGAGAGTCTGCGAGGCCTGCTACACATCTCTCACCACCTCCTGATGACGCAGCGAGGTCAAAGGTCGCGCCGCCGCCATCTTGCCGGCCGCGACGTGACGATGTGATTCGCACGCCTTTATTTATCGAGCGATATTAAATTTCTTTTTTTTAAGCGGGGAGGCATGTACGTTGAAGCAAACTTGAAGGATGTTTACGTAACGTTTTTAATTATTTTAGATTATTATTTTCTATCAGTTCGCTGTGAATCGTATCCGGTTTATAGTATTATAATCCGGTTATAATCCAGTATATAGTATTATAATCCGGTTTAGTTCTCGTTAAATAGAGAATATTGATTAATATCATAATTCTGTTACAAAATGTCATTTTTTTGAGGTAGATGCTAAATTTGCCCCAGCGTTACGCAATTGGTACAATATGTATGTCTATCGTATGTTTACAGATTTAATTTTCTGTAGGTAATTACAATAATGATATGCTAAATTGCTAATTAGAGAACTACAATAATTTAGTTTAATTTGTGTTGATAGCAGCTGTAATTTTGACTGTGAAAACGATCGCATATCGTGTGCACTAGATCTCCGCGTAACAGACTAATATAAAATTGTTTGTAGTCGGATTTCATTTGTCGTTTGGTGTACATAGACTGAAATGTCATTACCGGCGTAAAACTGGGGAAATTTCTCCTCCCCTCCCTAACTGCTTTCACTTCCTTCCTCGACCTTGCCATCTCCTCTCTCTCTCTCTCTGGGGGGGAGATAGGAGAGACAGAGATCAGAGCAGAGATAGATAAAGAGGTGTGAGGGGGAGCAGACTGAGAAGAGAGAGAAGAGAGCAAGACGAGCAGATAGATAGGAGGTGACGACGAGAGAGAGATGAGCACGAGCGAAGAGACGAGAGAGAAGAGAGAGCAGAGGGAGAGAAGCAGACGACGAGAGCAGGAGAGAGACGAGAAAGACTGACGGGAGAGAAACGGATGAGAGACCGAGAAGAGAGAGATGAGAGAAGAGAAA